TCTTCCTTCCATTTCTCTTCCTATTGAGGCTGAGGTCTGACATGTGACATACAGTATATCATAGACGTGAGTACACCCACTCACATTTCATAAATATTTTAGTATATCTTTTCATGTGACAATACTGAAGAAATGACACAGTGAGTATACAGCTTATATAACAGTGTAAATGTCCCCTCAAAATAATACAACACACAGCCATTAATGTCTCAGGTGTGAAGGGGGAGCAGGTGTTATCACTCTCACTGACTGGTCACTGGAAGTTCCAAATGGCATCTCATGGTATTGAACTGTCTGAGGATCTGAAAAAACGAATTGTTGCTCTACATAAAGATGGCCTAGGCTATAAGAAGATTGTCAAAACCCTGAAACGGAGCTGTAGCACGATGGCCAAGACCATACAGCGGTTTAATAGGTCAGGTTCCACTCAGAGCAGGCCTCGCCATGGTTGACCAAAGAAGTTGAGTGCCCGTTCTCAGCGTCATACCCAGAGGTTGGCTTTGGGAAATTGATGTATGAGTGCAGCCAGCATTGCTGCAGAGATTGAAAGGTCAGGTTCCACTCAGAGCAGGCCTCGCCATGGTTGACCAAAGAAGTTGAGTGCCCGTTCTCAGCGTCATACCCAGAGGTTGGCTTTGGGAAATTGATGTATGAGTGCGGCCAGCATTGCTGCAGAGATTGAAGGGGTGGGAGGTCAGCCTGTCAGTGCTCAGATCACATGCCGTACACTGCATCAAATTGGTCTCCAGGGCTGTCGTCCCAGAAGGAAGCCTCTTCTAAAGATGATGCACAAGAAAGCCCACGTACGGTTTGCTGCAGACAAGCAGACTAAGGACATGGATTTCTGGAACCATGTCATGTGGTTCCAGAAGCTGGTGAGACCAAGATCAACTTATTTGGTTCTGATGGTGTTAAGCGTGTGTGGCGGCAACCAGGTGAGGAGTACAAGTGTGTCATGCCTACAGTCAAGCACAGTGATGGGAGTGTCATGGTCTGGGGCCGCATGAGTACTGTCGGCACTGGGGAACTGCAGTTCATTGAGGTAACCATGAATGCTAACATGCACTGTGACATACTGAAGCAGAGCACGATCCCCTTTCTTCGGAGACTAGGCCACAGGGCAGTATTCTAACATGATAATGATCCCTAACACACCTCCAAAACGACCACTGCCTTGCTAAAGAAGCTCAGGGTAAAGGTGATGGACTGGCCAAGCATGTCTCCAGACCTAAACCCTACTGAGCATCTGTGGGGCATCCTGAAATGGAAGGTGGAGGTGCGCATGGTCTCTGACATCCACCAGCTCTGTGATGTTGTCATGGAGGAGTGGAAGAGGACTCCAGTGACAACCTGTGAAGGTCTTGTGAACTCTATGCCCAAGAGGGTTAAGGCAGTGCTGGAAAATAATGGTGGTCACACAGAGCAGTGCTGGAAAAAAAATGGTGGCCACACAAAATATTATCTTGTGCCCAATTTGGACATTGTCGTTTAGGGCTGTATTCACTTTTGTTACCAGCAGTTTAGTCATTAATGGCTGTGCGTTGCGTTATTTTGAGGGGACAGCACATTTATACTGTTATACAAGCTGTATAACAATTTCTTTACATTGCAGCCAAGTGTTATTTCTTCAGTGTTGTCACATGAAAATATTTATGAAATGTGAGGGGGTGTACTCACTTCTGTGATATACTGTATACAATCTTACCTGTTGGTTTTACTAGATGTATTCTTATCATCTCACTTTTGCTGAGGTCAGAAATATGAAGGTTATCTAGAAAAAAGAGGGCATAATCCTGCTTTCAGGTGGAAGTTTGTAATCCTGTCTCATCCCCCACAATGAATAAAACAGTAACAGCTGCTTGGCTCCAGCAAACAGGAGAATGAGGTCAGTATTAGAGCCTCCAAGATCATGTTACGACCTTGAAATCAGGTAAATGTGTTGAAAGAGACTGGGCTGAAATGAGTGTGTCTGTGCGGAGGGAGAGGGAGTTATGTCTATACCAGTCAAGAATGTTGCCACATGTACGTGTTGAGATGTGTATGTGTGTGTTTTATTAATTGTAACCCATAAAGCAACAACAACAGTGATACAAACACCGCTCAAAACTGTTTTTTGAACACCCCGAGTTTTTTCACCAGCAAACAGCATGAATTGCTTGAAGAAACAAGGAAGAATGCAAATGTGTCTTTTAAGCCAATTAAGAGCAAAGTTCCAAGTATATTTATCAACTGAGGCAGGAGATTAGACATGGGAGCTTCCTGTTCATATATGAATATGAAGCCCATCAGCTCCAGAGGTCGGCCTGATTACCGCCCACCCCCAGAACCCGCTGGATCACTTACAGCAGTGGTCCCCAACCTTGGGCCTCCAGATGTTCTTGGATTTCAACTCCCAGAAATCCTGGCCAGCAGAGGTGGTGGTGAAGGCTTCTGGGAGTTGTAGTCCAAGAACATCTGGAGGCCCAAGGTTGGGGACCACTAACTTACGGCACAGAGTGTGGCCTGTGTGGCTGGCATCATCTCCTTTGCCCCAATCCCAGCAGTAGCCCAACTGCCTCAGGCCCACCTCCCTGCTTGTCCAGCCATTCCGCAGCTAAGCAGGGAGACTCGTCCTCCTGCCCCCTTGCCAGACTGACTGGGTGAGCTGCAGGGCAGGGCTGTGGCAGCTGGGCTACTGCTGCGATTCAGGCAAAGGAGATGACGCTGGCCACGCATGCCGTGTGCTGCATGGCAAGTGGTCTGGTGGGTTCTGGGGGGTGGGTGGTAATCAGGTCAGCCACCTGTGTTGGCAGGCTTCATATTTGAATGCGACTACAAAGCCCCCCCCCCATGTCTACAGGAGATCCACAACATAAAGGACACAGGTCCAAGTATACAGCCTTTAAAGTCCCTCAACCAGGGAGGTAAGGGCCTGTTCTTTCTCCAGGGAGGCAGCAGCTCTTTCCCCTCCAACTCCCCTGGTTTTTCTCACCTGAAATCTGAATCACGGGCCTTTCCTAACATTTCTCCACCCATTGGGCTGAACCAAATAGTCCACGGGAGTAATACTTCAATTGTGTAGGGGATGTACTATCTGCTCAAATGGGCTGCATTGTGTGGCTCTCTGTGCTCTGACAAATCCCCAAATGTGTGGCAGAGTTAACTCGGGGAGTCAACTGCAAAGTAGTGAGCATCGCAAGAGCCGTTGCATCATGGAACAGATAGATTGTTCTCCATTTTATTGCACAACTACTTCCTGTAAGATGATCTTGCTGATTCATCATTCACTTCATGCAAATGAGTGAAACAAGCCAGATATCTGAAGTTTTAGATAACATGAAAACATGGGTTGCTCTTAAACAAGTCAGAATTCATAAGCCAACAACACTTATGAATAACAGCCTACCTAGTTAGCCTGGTTGGTTTGAGAGCAATAAATTATATCCAGATGTCAAAGGAACATTGGATGCAGCCTTCATCTAAGTCAATCCATTGGTCCATAACACCTGAGTAAAGCTAGAAGGGTAAACAAAGAAAATATAGAATCACAGAATCACAGAATAATTGAGTTGGAAGTGGCATCTAAGGCCATTGAGCAGGGGCCCCAGTGCAGGAATCCTAATCAAAGTGGATCTGACAGATGATTGTCCAATTTTCTCTTGAATGCCTTCAGCATTGGTAAAGCATATATAAATTGAAAGCATCCTGGGCAGCCCCAAGACATTTTGATGCCTCAGGCAAAGAGAAACATTATACCAATTCCTCTGGTCTTTCTGTTGTTACAATAGTCTTGATTAGACTAGTGTAGTACACTGTATCTGCATCTGCCTTTCAAGCGTGCTTGGAAGCTACATCTGGCGCAAAATGCAGGAACCAGACTGTTTATCAGTTGTATGCATTACAGACGGTATAAAACCACCCTTGAATTAATTCCACTGGCTTCCATATTGTTTCCAAACTCAATTCAAGGTGCTGGTTTTAATCTGTACAGTCCTTAAACAGTCTGGACATCTGCAAGATCACCTCCTCCCATATGCCTCTACCCAGTTCTGAGGTCTTCAACAGAGGCCTTATTGCATGTCCCAGCATCTCAAGAAGCTAGGTTAGTTAGAAAGGAGACAGGGCTTTCTCTATAGCCCCATCTCAGCAGTTGGTTCATTATGGCCTAATGGTGGAGCAAGACTCAGAAGGTTATTATCTGTCCTAAAAACATTTCTCAGGAGGTAAGGCCCATTCAGAATTCTGAGTTGAAATTTCCAAGACGAGGGCAGAAGAAAAAAGGTATCAGCAGGCTTGCGATAACCCAAAGTGTGCAGAAACACAACACATATTTAGTAAGATATGGTAAAGGAAGAGAGCAACGTAGAAACAATCACACATACGTACATCCACCAAAGACTGAACACGCGCAGTTGGCAACTAAGGTTTCCAATGGGAATGCTTCTCTGGGTCTCTAGGCAGGAAAACAACTCTTGTGTTGAGTGGCACTGGAGGAGGATAATATTTGATGGGAAGCTGATGACTTGGAAACTGGAGACAGGATGCTGAATATTCTAGGGTGAAAAGGGAATGGAATTGAGGAATCTGGAAAAGAACATGATTGACCAGCTGGCTAGAATTCTGAATAGGAATACTTCACACTGCAACATCATATTGCTGGTTCTAGTTATTAGCAACATGATTAAAATTATGATTACTCAGTGGGTTCCTTCTGCTATCATTTTCTCAGTGTGGCTCCCTAGTAGGTTTATAGCCAGCTTTCACCCCTGGGGTAACTGAAGGAATGGTAAGTTTCTCTGACCATGATCAAAGTAGTTTCTTGTCTCCACAGAGGATCTGTAATCTGCTTCACTTCTTCAGGGTCATCAAGGAGAGTGACTTCCAGGTAGGTTTAGACCCCATTTAACCTTTTGGTGAGTAAAACACACTAGACTGCTTGTGAGTCATGAGGGAAAAGGGGTGGGAGACGGCTAAGCAATGGGAAGCCTGAAGCTTTTTGACTTCCCTATATTAACTGAAAGAAAGAGTCGAACGTTTCATTTCACAATTAGTTTAAATTTCTGCTTAGCAAGCTCATCTGGAGGCTGTAGACTGAATTTGCCGGATTGTGATTTACTGCTGTCAACCAAGGACGTTGATTCCTGTTATAAGAATCTTGAAGGCAAAAG